AAGGGGGGGAGGTCGCAATCGCAACACGAGTGCATAACTTACAATGTGGGCTTGTAGCAGATAGCACTCGAGTACGCATGTGTGTTCGCCTTAATGCATCGGTGTACCCAGAGATTGTCTCGACAGACGAAGCATTTCCGTTGCGCAAATATATCTAGCCGTGGATTTTTTGTTGATCGAATGTAAAATTTATCCTTTTCAACGTGATTTCCACGTCGAGAAGTATTGCTGACCTTTTTTTTGTAGCTTTTATAGGTTAGAACGATGCAGCTGCGTATTTCAGTGGCGAATACGCAAAGGTCTTCGCTACGGCAGAGACCGTTGACAGCTTCATTATTCAAATTAAGACACATGTATCCCTTTGGCTTCACGAGGCCGATCTTTTTTTTTTTGTTATTTTTTTTTTCGATTTTTTTTTTTTCCACTCATCCGTCCTTCTTTTCCCGTGCCTGGTCCAGCACGTGTCGGAGATTTATTAATTAGAGTTTAAACGACACGACCCCGTTCCGTAAATAGGTTCGTTAACGTAGTCGTTTGAAAACGCGTCGGAACGATAAATTCGATGCTTCGAGTGTCGTTAGTTTAACGTAGCTGATCGCTGAAACGATTAATATAAAATTCAAGATGGCGTTCACTCGAAGAATAGAAATGGATGAAAATTTTCTTTTTTTTTTTTTTCACTAGTCATTAACCTCACTCTAATTCACATGTTAACTGTGTCTATGGATTTGCCAATAATGTTTCTTTTTAAGTCGGTTAAGGATAATGGCCGATCTCCAATGGACGGAACGGTTCATGACTGTGCGACAAACAATCGTAAAAGTGTTTTAACTGTGGAGGTAAAGTGACGGTTGGCAATGGGGAGTGATGCGCTTGCAGCGTGTACCGCTGTGAATTTATGATTTATTTGCGTTGGCAGCGGTGCACAGTCGTGGCTATAAATTACGGCGATGCGTGTCGCTGACGTATATTCGACGCCATTATTGGAAATCCCGATCTACGCTTACCCGGTGATTATAAAGATTCTATAGGGTAATTAATGGTTACTGCACATTTGTCCTACGGTAGACAAATTTACATCGTACACATGTGCAGGCACCTGAAAACATAAATGCCCGCACCTGCTCCGGATTCTTATCAAAGATTATTATCTCAACTGCTTTTTTTTCAAACACCGTGTACGTTTATTCGTTAGTGGTTGGTGTTAGAAAAAAAAAAAATTGGAGATGCCGGGGATCGAACCCGGGGCCTTTCACATGCAAAGCGAACGCTCTACCACTGAGCTACATCCCCCCTTTGTAAAACTGAATTGTCTTTCTCTAACGATGTGAAAATTCTTTACGGTTACCTTCGATCTGGCCCCGTTTAGGAATCAGCACCTCGGGCGACTATTCGCGTGAGAACTGGCCGAAAGGATTGGTCAAGTAAGTAACTAATTACTGCGAAGGACATCCGCTTGAGAAAAGTATTCGGATTGCATCCGGGTAATGTAAAAAACATTACTGCTGTCGTTGACCGGATTGTCAAAGGATATAAAAATCGTTGGAATTTATTGGTATGAAACCTAACGCACTCGTCATACGGTACGATCAATTAATTAGTTGTTCATTAGAAGGCACTCTGGGTAAATAAATTAGGTCGATTGAAATCATGATTTCTACGTACACCATATTATATACAATGTATGTATGTACTATCCGATCAACCAATAGAAATGGTTTTGGCTTGTCGGTTTCATGACGGTGTATATAGGAGATCGCTTTTTTGCCGTTACTTCATATTATTACGATACACTTTGATCTTTGCATTTTCCTACAGTTAACTCCAGATCCTTCTCCGTCCCTGAGAACGTTTTAAACTTCGTCGATTATAGTTTTCTCTGTATTAATACAGAATAGGACGGATGACTCGTGACTGGTAAAATATAACCTCAAATCGCGTGTCGTCTGACTGTTTTATCTTACGATGTATTATCATAGTCGTGCTGATCTTGACTCGAATGAACGTAATCACCGGCGAAGTCAAGTCAGCAACCGTATACTGCTGTTAGCGGTGGGTCGAGAATTATGAAAATGAGTCCGCTAGCTCTTTCAAAGATGGCGCACGGCGCAGTGACGTCACAGGGTATTACAAAGTAAAGTAATAAGATAGGAGAATTATATACGTATTCCCGTGCGTTTAAGCGCTGTCGAAAAATGAAGTAGGC